TGGGGTCTTACTATGTAGTTGAGACTGACCTGGAACTCACTATGTAGCCCAGGCTGGTCTCGAACCCACAAGGATCCTCCTGCCTCAGCCTCTCGAGTGCTGGGATGACAGGCATGCGCCACCACGCCTGGCAGACCTCTTATTTGTTAAAAGAGATGAAAGTATGGCAGGCAGGTTCTCTAGAGTCCAAAGCTAACTCCAGAGTTTCTCATATTTGTTTTCAAAGTTAAGTAAGCTAATCTGTTTTTCACAATAGGTGAAATACAACTTAAATCAGAGCACATTATTCTTTACTGTGCTTTTTGTAAATTCCCTGGCATAATTGAGACAGGGCTCGTGTGGTGACTTAACCTTTCTCTGGTCTCACTGCATAATTTTAAATGGTCCCAGCCACACTTTGCATACCTGAGGTTACCAAGGAGGAGGAGCAGTGGCCTGTTTTATACCGACTTTGTGTAGGAAGGAGGGAGGGGACTGTACCATGTTTGAAAGAAGATAGGTTTGGAGACTCGGAGACCCAAATACTGTGTCGTCTTGCCTCTCCACTAGCTAACTGTGTGGTCTTGAGCAGGGGACACAATTACCGTGGTGTCCACTGCCTTGTGTGTCAGAGGTAGAGGAGCCCTGAAATTCACTCGTGCTCTATCAACTTTCAATGCTACGCCTGAGTTCATGCTTTCACTACTACGATAGGAAATGCTTCTTATGCATCCGTCTTAGATTTATATAGCAAAAGGGAACTTACATACAAGGCTGTCTTTCCTAGAACTGAAAGCTTCAAATCACTGTTGCAAGGAGTTAACAACTGTACTAAAAGATGTTCTGTAAAAGTCAGCCTGCCTCTGGAGGATCACTGTGAGTTCGAGACCAGCCTGGGGTACATAGTGAGTTCCAGAGCAGTCTCAACTACATAGTGAGAGAGAGCCTGTCTCAAAAAACAAAAACCAAACAAACAAAAAAGAAACCTAAAAAAGTCAGGCTGCCTCCTAATCTGAAACTGCTTTCAGATGTTCTGACTGTTGGCATGCTCAGTTTCAGTGATCTTTATACAGAGAGCCAAATGTTTCCATGAGCTCTCGGGTTGTGTTGGAATACAAGGGCCAGTAGCTTGTTTTCGTTGCTTTAAACAAACACAGGTTACAAGTACTCTATTTCCATGTATGGAAGTGCTGAGGCTGGATGAACTATCTTCACTCTTTGATGTACCAGCATCTATGAGTGCCTGCAATTCATTTTTTTTCTTTCATGACCATACATAACCCCCATTGGCTTAAGGTGATTTCCATGTTAGAAGGAAAGCATTTTTGTGATGTATCCCTAATCTTTAGTTAAATCCTCCAGATCACGTTGAGAAGGTTGAATATTAAGTCATATATACAGTTTGTACTTAAGAGGAAAGCTAACGATGTGGGGGACGCACAGTATTTGTGTGTTTGTGGAGAGGCGGTGAGATCGGGGGAGTGTCTGTATATGGTCCCAACGGTCCCTGTTCACTCAGCGGACTCAGGGGATGCTCGAGTTGCTTGGAAGGGTCAGATCGATGACAGATTTTGAACAGATTTCACATTTGTTGGGGTGCTTAAGCATGAACTTGTGTTATGCTTTTCACAGACCTTGACCGGCCTAGTGAGGAAGTTTTCTCTCGAGATCTTTCAGATTTTCCATCTGTAGAAAATGGCACGGGAACAAATGATGAAGATGAATTAAGCCTTGGTTTGCCCACTGAGCGCAGGAGGAAAAAGGAGCAGTTGGACAGGGGCCACATACCGAGCAGAGAGAGGCCATCAGCAGCCGGGCTCACTCTTCCCCTGAGCAGTGACCAAGCCCTCCAATTGATGAGCAGCCTGGCTGGAGAGGTCATCACGGCTGCAGTGACAGCTGCTGTCAAAGACCAGCTCGAAGGGGCTCAGCAAGCTCTGGCTGCCACCGCGCCCAGCCCGGAAGAGGACACAGACACTGAAGAAGGGGATGACTTTGAACTGCTTGACCAGTCAGAGCTGGATCAAATTGAGAGTGAGTTGGGACTCACGCAAGACCAGGAAGTGGAAGCTCAGCAAAACAGGAAGTCTTCCGGCTTCCTTTCCAACCTCCTCGGCGGCCATTAAGCAGGGAGTAGGCTTGCAACAGAGCACAGACAAACCACCAAAAAGTTTCAACCAAGCAAAAGTAAAAAAAACAAAACCAAAAAACAAAAAAGAAAGAAAAATGGAAAAAAAATGTAACTGTAAGCTTTAATGATTACTTCAGAGTTTCTTGTTTTATTTTCCCTTCTGCGGTGAGTTAATTGGATATATATCAGCCAACAATGATAGATTGGTATTTCTGATAGTTATTTTTATGTAATAAGCATGGAAATGAACTTCATATACATATAAACCATGTTGTCAGAAATATTAGGAGTTGTTTTTAAAGCAAAAAGGAAAAAACCCAAACACCAAATTATTAAGATCGTACTGTAAGGATTCTTTATAATTAATTTCCAAGCATGCAAAAGTTTATTGTAACTCATTGAAAATATTAACAATTAACTGTGAATATACGCTGTATCAGCCCCCTTGTTCCTAATACTTGGAAATAATTTTTTAAAAACCGGTAAGTTTTAATGTAGAAAGACAGAAATTATCAAAGGATCTCTAGCTGAAGGACTTGGGAAATATTATCAATGTTAGTGACCTAGGAAAAATTCTGAAAGTAAGAAGTACAGATAGGCTGGAACATCTCCATGTTTTTTTCTGCAGTCGTAGGCACAGGTGTACTTGTAAAGTGACGATCTTATTGACTGCCTTCTCTGGTCTTGTGACGCGGGGGCTCTTAACTCAGAAAAGCAAGCAGTTGTGTATCATGTAGGTGGAGGAGATTCAGCTGTCCTGTTGCCCGTTTTTGGCCTCTGTTTATGATAGAGATGTGAGTGCAGGTCTATTCTGACTGCTCTCACTCAATGCTCATATTTTATGTTGTGTCATGAAAGATGTCGCCTAAAATCTTGAAACTAGTTATGGATGTGTTCTAGGAATGGTGTCATCATCACAATAAAGAAGTAATAACTCTGTTTCCTTAGTCTGTATAGATAGAAAAGATGGCTGGCTTTAAAATATTTATTTGCTGTTGAAGTCCAAATATGTCACCTGTTTCTTATTGGGAAGCTAGAATATATATTTTCCTTGGCCTTAAATTTTTTTGATCATCTTTTAATGATCTATTTGGGCTTACAGTTTTTAACAAAGCACTAAAAAGCAGAAACCAAGATAGTTTTGTGTCTGTGATGTAAACTCTTAGTAGCATTGAGGGACCGTGTCAGCGACTCTACCACATTTCTTAAACCTTCAGGCGTAGCTGGCATTTGTACTGATGCACAAAAGGAAGGAGACTCTAACAGTATAGGAAAGCTGTGTTCCCCTCCTTTCATTTAGTGCTCTTCCTGAACGTTTGTAAAGAACAACTATCAGTAACTAGTCTTGTCGCAAAGCGTCTCTTATTTCTTTTTGTCTTTCTGAGGTATCAAGTTATTTAGACAGAAATTTGCCAAATGTTGAAGGGAAGAAAGTTACGGCAGACTTTCAACACTTGCTTTTTGTGACTGACTATACTTACGTCTCCTTAGTGCTTCATGTTTGCTGTGTTGTTTACTGACGATATCAAACGAGCCTGTGCGTGCATTCTCTTGCCCATTTTGGTACAGATGTAATCATGTCTTAGAAAATCTCTGAACTGTGTAGTTTTGGAAGAATATACCTGAATTCTATTCAGTAAGAATTTCTGGACATAAGGGGAAAAATACAATCATATTTATAAAGTAGTTGTTACCAGGATTCTTTTTTTTTTTTTTTTTTTTTTTTTTTTTTTTT